GAGTTTTTATCTGCATCAAACCATCTAGGGCTTTTATATGACATATGAGAAGAAAACTTTACCCCTTAAGAGTGAATCACGTATTAGTATTTGACGTCAAACTGAATGAAAATTTTCAAATCTGACTGTAAGGGGTTAATTGGCTGACTAAAATAGTTCAAGCGGTTAATTTACCAGATAATTTATTGAGAGGGTCAATTTCAATTGAAATAATAGTCTAAAAGGTCAAACGGCAGTTTACCCTTATCTTTTCTCTTGTACACTTTTTATTTACTCTATGAAAGCCTTTACAACTTATGGTTTTCTTACTAAATATACAGAGTCTTGTTATGTTATATGTCATATGAAGATGTGGACTTCCAAAAGGTTCTAAATTCTAGTTTGTTTTTACTTTTCACAGTAGTAAAAGAAAAAAGTGAAAAGAAACAATTCATTGTGTTCATTTTGATTATGTAACATATCGGTTACTTGCCACTTAATACTATGGTATAATGGTATTCTTCTTCACTTCTAAGTGAGAGGTCTTAGGTTCGATTCTCGTAAAAGGCGAATTTGAGCCACATTATTGTCAGCCTATTGTGAGGGTTAGCCCACACCCCCACCCCCTTAGTGTAAATAATATCATTTATTTAAAAAAAAAAAAAAAAAAAAACTAGATACGTCGATTAGCACCGAAGTTTAGTAGTATTTTTCTTCACTTGTAATTAGAAAGGCTTTGGCTCAACTTCTGTGAATGAGTTTGATATCAAATGAATATAGTCATTGTGTGGCCTAGCTCAAACTTCAATCCTTTCGTGTTATATATCTTTACTATTTATAGGAAAAAAAATTGAAGGAGCCAGAGCAACATTTGCAACTATTCTTCTTTTAGTATCAGTTGTGGCTTCAATGCCACATCTGATGCTGTGGACAAGAAGCAACAAGGGATTTAAAACGTTCATAATACGTAGGAAAAGACTCACCTTCATCTTACTGAATTCCACTTATCCTTTTACGTAAAAGGATGATTCGAGAAGTTGGGAAAAACTTCTCCAGAAATGCCCTCTTCATACTCTCCCATGATGTGACGGTTCCGGGAGCTAAGTCATACAACCAATCTTTGGCTTTGTCCATTAAAGAGAATGGAAAAGCCTTCATCTTCAATATACTTCCATCGACATTGACGGGAGTCATGCTTGAACACACCACCTCGAATTCCTTCAGATGCTTGTTCGGATCCTCCATGGACAACCCATGGTATTTCGGAATGTGGTGGAGCAGACTTGACTTCAACTCGAACTCTTCGGTCTTACCTTCGGCAGGTGCGGGATATTGGATACACAGAGGTATGGCATTATCCAATCCCGACGCAGAAAGCTCCTTGAGTGTCCGGTTGTCCACGGCCATGCCTTGTGTCTCTTCAAATACCCTTGCCGTGGCCTCTTCAAAAATCCCTGCCGTGGCCTCTTCTTCCTCTTCTAGGACTTGTTCTTCAAGGTAAGGTTCCGGGCTTGGTGGATTTGGTTCGTGTTGCTTCCTCTTCCGTCTCAAAGTCCTCTCGAAATCACTGTCAAAGTCCAAGATATTCTCACGAATCGGTTGAGAACTCCGAGTCATACACTAGTACCTAAAACAAGAAAAACAAAACAAGGTCAGAAACTTCAACAAAATAAACAAACAGAAAGTAACAAGGCCAAAAATTTGATGCGAAATATATAAGCACACAAATTAAAACCCTATTTTGACAATTGTAGTATATGTATAAGTAGGGATCATTCTAAACCGGGGATTATGAGGGATTGCTAAATCACTTGGAAACTGACTCAAAAACGTAAAGTAAAGTTTAAAACACTAAGCTAGACTCAAAGAATGCAAAACTAAACACTTAAAACACTAAAACAAACCAAAAGACTCAAACAGCACCCAAAACACTCAAAACTGCCTTAAAAACACAATCTGGGCAGTTTTGAGCACTTACACTAATTTGGACGAATTTGGGTTATAACTTGAATCAAAATACTTAGAAACACAAACTAAGACACTTTCTAACTAAATTGAACACTAAAGTAAAGGGGGATTGAGTTTTTGACGAAATTAAACAAAATGCACAGATTATAATTAAAACAGAATGTAAATACGAATTTGATGAAAATATGGATGGAATGCTAGCTAGAAGGTTCTTCTCCACGCATGTCACACTTGCATACAAGATGATTTTCAGTTGGTCTTTCGATGAATCATGAAACTCAACACCCCGGGTTAATTAGGTTCGCTTAAATTAACCTTCAAGTTCTCCTTAAGTTAATGAATTGGATGGGACAGCGCATACGCAATTCAAAACATTCTCCAAAAGTCCTTTACGTGAAAAGCACAATAAAGATACAATCAAAGATCATTAAGCAACATGAAAACTATAAGTGTTGATGAGGTATTCGTTACTATGATGAGCATGAAACTAGTGCCAAGAATTCATTTAACGCGATTGTTTATAAGCAACCTCCACTACTTGTGAATATAAGTTCATAACTATTAGGTGAAACTCACTTATATTCTAGCGTCATATTCATGCATGAAAACTAAGCGTGCACTCTCAATAAACATACACAAATAAGTTATCAATCAAGCAGTTAAACGAATTGAATCCATAACTCTTGAAATTCCAACCGAAGGTAATCAATTCATATTGCAAGCATAAACATGGTTTTGAATCACCCCCTAGCTAACTGGGGATTTAGCCTCTCATGTTCACAGAAAGAGAAACAAAATTGAAATTAAACATAAAGAACAAAAGATTGATTACACCTAAAATGCCCAACGAATCCACTTTTAATTTCTGCACGTTTCAAGCTCCTCTTTCTCCTTTCTTCTTGCTGCGGCAGAGAAGGTTTATTGAGTTTTTGGATGTTTTTCTGGTTTGGGAATGGATTTATGGGGATATGGTGGTGTGGCAAGGAGGTGGGAAGGTGTATGGAGGTTGGGAATGGTGGCTGGAAGGGTGGAGTGGCTGCGGCAGAGAAGGGTAATGGCTGGAATGGATGGGAAAAGGTGCGGTTGATAGGTTTTTGGGTGATAGGAGTGACGGCTTAGGGAGAGAATAGGGATGGTGGCTGAATGAATTAATGAATGAAAAGTGAATGAAAGGAAGAATAGGCTCTAGGGTGAAATAAAGGGTACGGCTGAGATGTGTGCGATGAAAAAGAATGAATGAAAAATCTCCCTATGGTGCGGCTTAATGGTGGATTACCTAGGGTTTTCAGAAAATCCAACCCTAGCTTATTTTTATTAACTAAAATTAATTTAAAGGCTGCTAGAATTAGGAAATAAAATCAGAAATTAAAAGGGATTTGATTAATAGGTGCGGCTAGGGTAAAGGATTAGGGTTTAGGTGCATAAAATGGGACAAAAATGCCCCCCCTTGCACGGCAAGGAAATGGGAGAAGGGGAAAAGGCACGGCAAGGGTGTTTAAGGGGCCTAGGGCCTTCGTTTTGTGTCCTAAAGCGCCTACAAGGCCTTCAAAGTGGCTAGAAAATACGGACGTTTAAGATTAGGAAAGGTTACCAAAACGGGAAACCTAGGGTTAACTTTCCTACTTCAAGTAGGAATCCTTATTGGAGTAGGAATCCTCGTTGGAGTAGGAATTCATCGTTTCTTCAAGTCTTCAACTCATTCATTCCTCTTTCGCTCCAAAAGACTCCAATTTGCATCTTCTTGCACATTTTGGCCTTATAATCTGAAAATACACAAAAGTGGCTTTAAACACTAAAATAATTAAGGAAACACAACATAAATGCACAAGAACAAGCTAATTAAGTCGCATGAATATACTCCTATCAGTGGGCGAACCAGATTCTAATATAATGTAACTTCTTTCCATGCAAAGTTTCCAAAATTTTCAATGTGTAACAACTCTGCTTTTCGAAAATAGAAATTGTTATTATCACTCCAAACATTCTATTTAGAAAGAAAAAAAAATTTACTTGTGAAAAGTGCACAATAAAATTTTTAAAATTCTAATAATAGTTGTTCTAGAATATTGCAAAAGAAATATTGGTGGGAATATGAAACACCATGGTGATTCCTAGTCCGAGAAGATATGATTTTAATCCCACAGCCTACCAAGAAGGACAAAGAGTTCGTACAAAATCCCTAATCAGCGGAGAGCATTAATCCATGGGACTCCTGGTAGTCTCACTTATTTCGCTTTTGCCTTCCCACTCTCATCACTTCTTGCAAGAATTTGGTTTCTCAATTTTACCCAATGGAAACTTTGTTTTTTGAAATAAAAATTCGTTAAGCATTGGTCACTAAAATAATGTCGAGCATTTTGGGTAGCTCTGTTAGATGTTTCGAATTTTTTAAAAGTTATATCTTGTTTGTATTTTTAAACAACAGAATATTTCTGCTCAAGATTACTAATGAAAATTTTCCATGTTAAAATTTTCATCCCTTATTTTCCTCCTATAAGCCCGTTATTTTTTATGGAAATTCCACATTTACTACTTAAAATAATAATTCGTCCACATTATGGCAAGTTTAGAAACAAATATTAACAAATTTTTAAGTATGCGATCAAATTTTCAATTAAACCAAAATCCAGGGATCAATATTAATTTTCCCATTTTCAATATAATTAAATGAGCTGCTAGACCCATCTAGTGTTCTATTTCTCCACTCATATTATAATCTCATCCAACATAAAAAGTTTTTAAAAAATAAAAATGTTATTTCCCCACTCATTATTATTTCTAAAATAACATCTAATATGTTATTTCTTCATCCACTATTATTCCCAAAAAATTGAAATGTTATTTCTCCAACAGTTAAGTCTTATCTGATGATAATTTACCAGCAAATAAATAATCTTCCAAATGCTCTGTTGCTGTGTGTTTATGTATTGTCCATTCGTTTCACAATCCAATGTAAATCTAGCCTCATGTTATTTTTTCGGGCCCTACTTATTATTATATCTTTTAATATCTTTATTTCTCGTTATGTAAATAGGTAAAATTATAATTCGAATTAGAGAGATAATCCTTCTACCTTTGGCGCTGCTGACTGCCGACATTTGGATGTTGATTTGTTCTCTCAGCCTCGCTAGCCGACCTCATATCCGGCAAAACAGTCGGTTCACTGCTTTCACTTTATCTTCTCCAATTCAACTATGGAAGTCAGCCGAGAAAAAAGGGTAAAAGAAAAAGGGAGAAAAAGCTAGAGGCTGTCATGGAGCTCGAGGTGTGAAGTATAAGGTAAAAACAGAAACCCAAAAAAAGTATGAGATAATAACCTTTTTCTGTTTCTCAACTTTGAATTCTCATCTTGGTTTTTTCCAATTTCCCCAAAAAAAAAAAACCTTCCATTTTCTTCCCCAGGTCATATTTTCTCAGCATTGCAGAATCTGGGTTTTGTTTTTCGTACTCTGTTTTGGTGAATTCTGTAAAAAAAAATCCAGTTGGGTTTTTGGGTTTTTGCTGCTGTACTGACTGATTGGTTATGGAGAAAATCTGGAGAAGGAGGAGGATATGCATTTTTGTAATTTTTTGTGTTTCCATGGTGGCTTATGGAACCACTTTCCCAGGCGACCTGAAAATTCTGAATGATTTCAGAAAAGGGTTGGAGAATTCAGAGCTTTTAGAATGGCCAGACAATGGAAGTGACCCTTGTGGCCCTCCTTTATGGCCTCATGTGTACTGCACTGGGGACAGAGTCTCACAGATTCAGGTTCAGAAAATGGGACTCAAAGGTCCTTTGCCTCAGAACTTCAACCAGCTCTCTAAGCTCAGCAACCTTGGCCTCCAAAGGAACAACTTCAACGGGAAATTGCCTACCTTTAGTGGCTTATCAGAGCTCGAATTCGCTTACTTGGATAATAATGATTTTGATACAATCCCTTTCGATTTCTTTGATGGCCTTAGCAGTCTTAGGGTTATGGCATTGGATCACATTCCGTTGAATGCGTCTACTGGATGGTCTTTGCCTAGTGAGTTGGCAAAATCTGTTCAATTGCAAAATTTGTCCTTGATTGAATGTAATTTGGCAGGATCGTTGCCGGAGTTTTTAGGGGCATTGCCGTCTCTCTCAGTCCTACAACTTTCCTTTAATAGATTAACTGGTGTGATTCCGGCGAGTTTTGGAGAGTCTTTGGTGCAGACATTGTGGTTGAACAATCAAGATGGTGGATTGACCGGTCCTATTGATGTAATTGCATCAATGTCGTCGTTGACACAGGTTTGGCTGCATGGAAACCAATTCACCGGAACAATTCCAGCCAACATTGGAGATCTTTCTTCTCTCAAGGAACTCAACCTCAATGGCAACCAACTTGTTGGTCTGATTCCGCAGTCACTGGCGGACATGAAGCTTGACAAATTGGACCTGGGAAATAACCGGCTAATGGGTACAATACCGAAGTTTAAGTCCGGTAATGTTTCTTATAACTCTAATCCATTTTGTCAGACTGATCCTGGGCTGCAATGTGCCCCAGAAGTTATTGCACTTTTGGATTTTCTTGGTGATTTGAATTATCCTTTAAGTCTTGCATCTGAGTGGTCGGGTAATAATCCGTGTGAGGGGCCTTGGTTGGGGTTGAGTTGCAATCCGCAGACCAAGGTTTCCGTCATCAATTTGCCTAGACGCAAGCTAATTGGTACTTTGAATCCTTCACTTGCAAAGTTAAATTCTTTGATTGATGTAAGGCTTCCAGGAAACAACATAAGTGGTAAAGTTCCTACTAACTTTACTGAGTTGAAATCCTTGAGATTATTGGATATCAGCGGAAACAATATCGAGCCTCCTTTACCAAAATTCCATGACAGTCTGAAGGTCATCATCGACGGAAATCCTCTTCTAGTTGCTAATCAAACTGTTGCCCCTCCTCCTTTATCTAGAAGCCCACCTCCACTCAATAGTTCACAACCTCCATCAGACAGTCCATCAGATACCCCATTATCCAGTGGTGGAAAAACACCATTATCCCATAGTCCACCCTCACCAATTACACACTCGAGTCCTAATCCATCTGGTTCTGTCCAAGTGGATGTTCAGCCCCAAAATTCTAAGAAATCAAAAACAGTTATTATTGTGGCTGGAATCGCAGTTGTTTCTGTTGCGGCTCTTCTGATGATTTGTCTATTTACTTACTGCTGTAAGAATAGGAAAAAAATCTCGGAGGTTCCTACTTCCATTGTGCTTCACCCTAGAGACCCATCTGATCCAGAAAATACGTATAAGATTGCAGTTGCTAGTAATACCACTGGAAGCTTGTCAACTAAAACTGGGATTACTGCTAGTAACTTCAGCAGTGGAACAGAGAACTCTCATATGATTGAGGATGGGAACCTTGTCATATCTGTTCAAGTTCTTAGAAAGGTGACCAAAGATTTTGCACCCGAAAATGAGCTAGGCCGTGGCGGATTTGGAACTGTTTACAAGGGTGAACTAGTAGATGGGACAAAAATAGCAGTTAAGAGAATGGAGGGTGGGGTAATCAGTAGCAAAGCATTGGATGAATTTCAGTCAGAAATTGCTGTTCTTTCCAAGGTTCGTCATCGACATTTGGTTTCTCTTTTGGGTTACTCCGTCGAAGGAAATGAAAGGCTTCTTGTCTACGAGTATATGTCTCAAGGTGCTCTTAGCAGGCATCTTTTTCATTGGAAGAGCTTCAATCTGAAGCCTTTATCTTGGACAAGGAGACTCAGTATTGTGTTGGATGTTGCAAGAGCGATGGAGTACCTACATAATTTAGCCCGCCAGACATTCATACACCGAGATCTCAAATCTTCTAATATTCTTTTGGATGATAACTTTCATGCAAAAGTTTCAGATTTTGGGTTGGTGAAACTTGCTCCGGATGGGGAGAAGTCTGTTGCAACTAAGCTTGCAGGGACATTTGGATACCTTGCACCTGAATATGCTGGTAAGATTTTCTTTTGAATCCGTTGTCAAATTTAGTTCTGGAATTGAATTAACAGATAAGTTCAACAGCTGAGCGTGCAAAAGAATAGATGAAAAATATGTAAATAATGTGGCTGTTAAATTGACATCTTTTCGTTTACATTTTCATGTTTAGTACTCAGGTCACGTGTCATATACTATCGTAAACAGAAATTTAAGATATATACTTACAGGTTACGATTATAAATTGTTGTTGTCTTGTACTTATAACACGCCTTGACTGCTGTAATTTCACATAAATTCCTTTTATGTTTTCACCTCGAAGAGAGATAAATCGCTTCTGAATGGTGAGAATCTATGTGATATCCTGCAGATGATTGAATAATTTAGATTTCAAATCGGTATGTACTTTTACATCTGATCCACATAATGTGTCTTTCTAAATCACGATATTTGATTTCAGTGATGGGGAAAATTACAACAAAAGCAGATGTGTTCAGCTTTGGAGTGGTGTTAATGGAACTTTTAACTGGATTAATGGCGCTTGATGAGAACCGGCCAGAGGAAAGCAGGTACTTGGCCGAGTGGTTTTGGCGAATAAAGTCAAGTAAGGAGAAGCTTGTGGCTGCAATTGATCCAACTCTTGAAGTAAATGAAGAAACTTTTGAGAGCATCTCAATGATAGCGGGACTGGCTGGTCATTGCACAGCGAGGGAACCAAGCCATCGGCCTGAAATGGGGCATGCAGTGAATGTGTTGTCCCTACTTGTTGAAAAGTGGAAACCTATTGAGGACGAATCTGATTGCCTCTCAGGGATTGATTACAACCAACCTCTACCTCAGATGTTAAAGGTTTGGAAGGAATCAGAAAGCCAAGGAGTCAGCTATAATAGTCTCGAGGACAGCAAGGGCAGTATTCCTACAAGGCCTAATGGATTTGCAGAGTCCTTCACTTCCGCAGATGGGCGATGAGTAAAGATATAATTTGTAAGTCCGCAGAAACCATCGGCTCTTGCAGCAGTATACTTAAATAAATCTCTATGTAGGATATGATATTAAGCACTTCCTTTTCGTTAATGTCCATTCTAGTGCTCCGGCGCTTGTATTGATGTTTTCAGGACTCTTTTCTTGAGTTCTGAGAACTGTCTGTTAGATGTCATCAACGTAGATGGAGGATGTGCGATTCATTTTTTTGCTTGTTTGGTATTTCATGAATTATGTATGTATTTTTACTTTATATACATGTTAGTTATGTATGTATTTTTACTTTATATACATGTTAGTTTGCAATTAGTGATTGAAGCAGTAAAAAAACATCAACAAACAGACCTGTTGATTGTAATTTCCCTTTACTGGTTTTGCAGGATGCAATCTCTATTATGCTCTTTGGTACAATTCAGTTCTGGAATGTAAAGAATAATGTCGTGTTTTATCTTGTTCATGTGCGAGAAATTATTTTAAACTCAAAGCCAATCCATTATCCAAATGCATAGACCCAGGCCCAACCATTTGTAAGTTTATTTGATGTGTTTGGGGTTAGTTTTATATTGAAATTCAATGATCCGAAATATTTATTTTTTATTTTATCACTCAAATATTATCATAGTAAAAGACTAGACAAATTCAAAACAATTAAGACATTTAAATGTGGCAAAAGAATATAATAGTTACGAGTTTTTATCATTAATATGGTACTTCAGGAACACAATAAATGACAAACCATCTAATTAAGTGGTTTTTTTTTTTTTTTTTAACAAACAATATTATTTACACTAAAAGAAAAAATGTGGGCTTAACCTCACAATAGGCTAGTAATAATGTAGTTCAAATTTGTCTTTGGCGAGAATCGAACTAAGACCTATCATTTACAAGTGAAGAAAAGTATCACTAGACCATAGTACTAAGAAGTATCTAATGGTTCCGATTTGAATAACTTTTTTCAATAATTATCCATATGAGGGAAGATTTACAAAATAGACGGCACAGATCTTTGAAATACAAGCTGATACGTTACAAGGGTGTTTTTCAAATAAGCCTTTTGAGTGATCCCTTAACTTAAGCTCCCATGTGCGATTGATGGATACATGAAAAATGGGAAGGTTTGGGACGCGGTTGACCTGTTTGATAAAATGCCTAAGAGAGATGCTGTTTCCTGGACTGTGCTGATTGGCGGGTTTGTCAAGAAAGGTCAGTTCGAGCAAGCGTTGGAGTGGTTTCGAGAGATGCAGCTCGCAGGAGTGGAACCAGATTATGTGACTAGAATTGCTGTAATCGTGGCGTGTGCAGATTTGGGAACGCTTGGTCTAGGCTTGTGGATAAATCGTTTTGTTATGAAGCAAGACTTTAAAGACAACGTTAGGATAAGTAACTCGTTGGTTGATATGTATTCTCAATGTGGTTGTATTAGTTTTGCTCATCAAGTATTCGAGAGCATGCCCAAAAGGACATTGGTATCTTGGAACTCAATGATTGTGGGCTTTGCTGTCAATGGGCATGCAGAGGAAGCTCTCGACTTCTTCAACCTGATGCAGAAGGAAGGCTTCAAGCCAGACGAGGTCAGCTTCACTGGAGCACTCACCGCTTGCAGCCATGCTGGTTTAGTCGATGAGGGGCTCCATTACTTTGATAACATGAAGAGAGTTCACAGAATAACACCCAGAATCGAGCATTATGTGCATTGTCGATCTCTATAGCCGTGCAGGGAGGTTAGAAGATGCCTTGAGTGTAATAGAAAACATGCCGATGAAGCCAAATGAAGTGGTGTTGGGTTCTTGGTTGGCTGCTTGTAGAACCATTGGGAACATCAGTTTAGCTGAAGGATTGATGAAGTACCTCTCTGAGGTTGATCCTAGCTTTGATTCCAACTATGTGCTCCTAGCCAATATATATGCAGCTGTTGGACGGTGGGATGGTGCAAACAAGGTTCGAAAGAAGATGAAAGACCTCAGAGTGCATAAGACACCGGGATTTAGTTCAGTTGAGATTGACTGTAACATTCATGAATTCGTGGCTGGTGATAAGTCCCATGTTGACACAGAGTGTATATATTCAACCCTAGAGCTTCTCTCCTTTGAGCTCAAATTATGTGGGTATGTTCCGGAAAACTTTGCGACAGAATCGTATGAGTTTGATTGATACTGTAGTTGTAGGTTATTCGAAAATAGAATGTACTTTTGCAACTACTTGCGAAGCCCCAAAATCAGTCTTGTCTACATATAATTTCGGAAGTGATTTCGTACACCCTTGTTCTACTTTTGCACACCTCTTCATTTATTTTTCCCCAATTTTTTTTATTCGATACAATAAACACCAAACTAGGTCATACTTTATTGAATTGCAATGTTCAGAATGACCAACAAGGAAAAGAAGTGACCTCAAATACACAATTTGAAGTCAGTCTCAGACTCTCATGCTTAGAATGTCGTGAGCAATAGCATTTATTCCCAGATCTTCTTGGTGGTAAGTTAGACATATCACCCAGCATCGTCACACGATTATCAAAAGGAACATCTGATACCTCAGAAGTGCCGAATGAAAATTCTTGCGTCCTCCAGTGGTCTTACACTCGCAGCCTTTAGCATTTCTGTCGATCCCCATCGAGATATGTTCTCCCACAAGTTGTGTTCCATAGCAATGGCAGAGAGAGCATTCCAGTCATCTATGTTCTCTAGTCTCTTCCATCTGTCCCTGCATAAAGTCATAAGCAGTGAAAGTCCCAGTAACTAGAAGGCAACATTCTGACTGGGAAAATATTTGGCTTTGCAAGCGAGAAGGGAATATTTCCCCCAAAAATGGGAGTTTAGCACATGAGCAAGGAAATAATGGACTTTTTGCAAGTAATTCGCTGTTAAATGCCTCGCAGAGATGCTACACCAAGTTGCTTTCCATAAAGCATCGCTTCCACTCTCTCAGCCATCTCTACCTTCCCATGAATCCTACAAGCACCCAACAATGCGCCCCATAACGCCTCATCTGGCTCCACTGCCATCCCCAAAACCAACTCCTCTGCTTCCTCTACCCGACCCACCCTACCCAACAAATCTACCAAACAGGTATAATGCTGCAGCCCTCGCATCACCCCAAACCTCCGCTCCATCATTTCAAAATACTCCCTCCCCTTCTCTGTCAGCCCTCCATGACTACACGCTGTCAAAATCGTAGTGAAAGTCACTCCATCCGGCCTCTCTCCTGCCTCCACCATCCTATCAAACAGCTCAAACACCTCGCCAAAAACTCCATGCATCCCATACCCTGCCATAATTGCCGACCAAGAAATCTCATTCCTCATCAGCATTCCGTCAAACACTTTACGGGCACCCACCAAATCACCACACTTCGCGTACATACTAATCAACGCATTTGAGTTCGCCAAATCGAAGCCAAACCCATTAACCAAAACAGCTCCATGCATTTGTTTTCAAAGCCTCAACACCGATAACCCGGCACAAGATTTGAGAACCGCAGGCAAGGTATGGCGATCCCAGGGTTTATTGGCGGCAAGCATACGGAGAAAAATGGACAGAGACTGAGAGAAGAGGCCTTGGGAAGAGTGGGCTCTGATGAGGGTGTTGAAGAGGAAGGTGTGTCGGCGAGTACAGAAGGAGAAAAGCAGGTTGGTTTGCTTCAGTTGGGCAGCGGCGGCGTAGGAGATGAGAAGCTTGGTTCGGATGAAGTCGTGGCGGGAAATGCCGAGTTTGATAGTTTTAGCGTGGAGCTGCGTGAGGGTTTGGAGGTTCTTCGACGAACTGCAGGCGTCGAGTAGAGTGGCGTAGAATAGTATGAGGCCGCGAGGTGGAGGAACACCCATGGCTGCCTGTACTCAGGGAGGATTTGTTCCTGAGAGCACGAGTGTTTAGGCGATATCAAATTCGACCGTTCTATTTAAACAAATCAAAATCGTTACTTTACAAAAATATGAATTATACTTGCATTGTCTTTGGGTGAGTTCATTCGCTCACTAACAAATAACATATTTTAACACTAAAAATGTTATAATCGAAACTGTACAATTTCTTAATCTTCATTTGAAGATCATCTTTACAAAAACATTCGAGTCAGAGATAGTTTAGTCATTCAAACATATTAACTAATCAACGGTGTAAGTATTAAGTAACATATTAATGATGAATTTCCTATTATTTGATAGATTTGGATGGCTAGACAATTTCTGTTTCAAATGATTTTCGGCAAGTATGGTCTTGAAATGAAGATTAAGTCATTAAACAATGCCAATGATAAAAAAATTTTACAGTAAAGATACGCTATTTGCAAATAGGAGAATAAGTTAATCCCCAAAAAACCGAGGGTAAAAGAAGACCAAGAAAATCTCGATTCAACATAAGCGAATGCAAGTATATATTCCAAAAATATTTCTTTGGAAGAAGCCAAGCTCCTAAACACTAGGGGAGGGATACTTCCTCAAAGCACAAACGTGCCACAAGTTTTAGTAAAATTAGATATCACACTTCAATGCCAAAATAATAATAATAATAATAATAATAATAATAATAAAACACTATTTCTAGACAAAAGGATTTCGTCAGGCCAAATAAGGTTTCATCACCTAATGTTTTACTCAACGGAAATTCATCTGGAAATTTTAGTCGGATAAAAGTCATCGCTCAAATGTTTGCCTGACAAATATTAAAACTTCGTTGGGCAAATTAGGTTTGCTCGACAAAATCACATATGACTATTTCGTTGAGCTAAGTACGTTGACGAACTTGAACCGATGAATCTAATTTCCTGACAATAGTATTTCGTCGCCAAAACCCATTGCTGAGCTGGAATAACATCCTAAACAACAACAATCGTACAATTTTGCTTGACAAATTTTACACTATTTCGTCAAGCAAAATTATATGTTTTGAAAATAAAAGAATACAAAAATATTTCACCCAAACGAAAAAGTCGTCAAGCAAGGAGTTTAAAGAGAAAAAAGGTTTTTAAAAAAAATACAAAATACATGCTCAACGAAAGTATTCGTCGGGCGAACTTTTTATTTTTATTTTTTTAAATTCTTAATTTAATTATATTATATATATTTTAAATTAATTAATTAGTTTTAAATATATTCGTGAAAATGTATGTAGAATATCCTAAACTGACTAATTATTCCTAGGGTGGCTGCTGGGATGGCGACATAAGCTCGCTAGGAGGATAGGTGAGGCGAATGCCAGAGGCTGCCATTGCCTACGCCATCACTTGCATGTACAACCGAAACTTATCCTCCTACTGGCGCACAACTTTTTCTTTAGCTTCTTCGCGCTAGTGCAACTTCTTTTCCCTTGCACATGGCATGTAACTCCATCTCCAAATACTGCAGTATGGAAGAAGTCCTGCTTCCATGTTGAGAGCCAGATGAAGAAGATCCTCGAGGTCCCAAACTCGACCTGCTCATAGGTCGTAGATCTCTTAGCCTTTTCGTCGCCCAACCTCGTCCATCAACATTTGTAGAGACACATGTAAATCAAGTCTCAGCTGCTCCATTGGCATGTTTGGTTGCTGCTGAGAAAGGTTGACGAGGTACTCGTCATTCTTTTGCAACATGAAGCCTAAAAAAAAATTAAAGAGAAACCAATTAAGATTACTAATCACAATTTTAAAATTTTATGTGTAATTAAATTTGAATGGAGTACTTACATTGATAGGATTAAAAGCACACCACAAAGTAGCACACAAATGTCCTATTGATTTTCCTTACTAACACTAAGATTTGTCAATTGTAGCATATGAAAATAAGGATATTTTCTCCAGAAGATTGTTTTATCTAACTACTTAAAATGTCACAAAAACTGGGTTGCTGTCCCTACTGACCAACCACTGAAAAATAATTAGTAGACTGACTTATACTTATCTAAAGTCTACGAAATTGTATATGAACATACTAGACACACAGAGCTACACTCACACAAACAGAATAAAAACAAAACAGAAACAGATTTTAAGTAGTTCATAAATTAAGAAAACGAGTTAGGGGAAGTGTTATCCACCACCAAATAATCATGCAGACATGTTATGTTTCATTCAAATTCCTTCTATTTCTGGATGAAGATGCTCAAGTTGGCTCAATGTTAGAACTCAACCTATTACTCTTTCTTATGTAGTATGTTAAGAGAATGACGTTTTCAACTTAACTTAGTCCCTAACATGCAATCTAGAATGGTGTGTTCATAGATTTAACAAGTAGAAATCATTAAGAATGAAAAAAGTTTGAGTCATCACAAGGCATCGTAAGTACTAGTGTTGTCTTACTTATCCTAGAAATTGGTTCACATGTTAATCGCAATTAACAAGTACTACTCTAGAACATATGTAGGTCCTCATTCGACAAGGGCAGGCACACACATATTCATAGCATTAGAATCCTAGATATGCTTACTAAATATGCATCTGTAGAAAACACATAAATAATTCATCAATGAGACAAGTAGTGAATCAATTTTCATCCATCCATAAAAGTAATTCAAATGAAATGTCATAACAAACTTACAATCATATTTGGGGATTCAAAACAGCCCCTAACTACTAAAACTTTAGTTATACATTATTCTCAAATAAAACCAAAAGAAATACATGAGTTTGAGAAGATAAAACCGAAAGAAGAGAATGCCAAGATTTCCTCCTTCCTTTCCTTCCTCAACACTACTTTTAAACCAATTCTTGTTGTATCATTTTCTTCTCCTTAACTCACCCACTAATAGCCATTTAGTGATGACAACAGGTGAGAGGAAATGGTAAAATAATTGTAACTCCTTGGGTAGCCTTTATGCCCATTACTCCCACTTAATTTTCCATTTCCTCTGATATTTGAATAGGTGTCAGCTGGCTTGTTCTTGGCTGCATCAGTTTTGGTTGCTAGATTTATTGGATTTACTACTTTCACTGCTTTCTTGTCAGTTACAAACTGTTCAGTCCCTTGGGAACCTTTTAGTGTTAAAATAGCCATAACTTCTTCTAGAAACATGATATGAACAATCCGTGAAATGATCCAGAAAATAGACATCCGTAGCTTTCCAAGCATATAAAGTTTATTCTCTTATTCATTCTGAGATGTTCGTAACTTGCTTCCAAAGTCAGCTGACCTGCACAAGCAGTTTTGACGAATTTGTTACTTAAAATCCCACTTGTGCTATTTTTCTTTTCTTGGCTTGACAAATCCTACAAAACACAAAAACAAAGTAAATAACTCAAAAATATAAGGAACTAACTAAGAAAAGACAAGTGAATTTGATGTAAAATATATATAAAT